CCAGAGATTTGGATGAAATATGAGCAGATTATTTCCTGTTTAGGGAACTTTTTATACAATTCTTTGTCTGTATTCTGGATTTTTAAAATAATTTATAACAGGTTTACAGACTTTTTTTTGGACAAATTTAGCGTTTTCTTGGCTCTGACATTTGGCCACTTTTTTATTAGACAATTTATATTTATTTTTCTTCACAGAAATGAACCAAATACTGAGATATCGAACCTAGTGTGTATATATTTGTACCTTTCTTACATCCCCTAAAATCAAGACCTCATGACTCCCTGTGAAACTTTGTGATAAATGGCTCGTTGGGAATCACTGGCTTATTTGCACATGAAGAGATGCTTTTGTCTTTTCCCATCGTTGTTTGTCCACCCTTGAGCGCCTCACAGGGATTTGAGCCCCCGAACTCTAAGCTGTGTCCTCAAAAACTTGGAAAGAGATTAAAAAACTTTACTGACAAAAATATCCAGTCACAGCTGTCAGATTGATTGACGTCTCATTTTACAGAGATGGTTAAAAATAAAAAATAAAAAACGCATCCCGACTTAATCCGAACAGCTCTGTAATCTTGGGCCAGTGTGCTCGTCGCCATTCATATAAATAACCACACATAAGAAGTCCAGTATTTACATGTGATGCATTATCATGTGTCTATTTTTACCCTCATAAATGCATTTAATCCGGGGGCGTCTAATGCTTCGCGTGACAGGACCGATGAGCTGCTGCAGCACAACTAATTACCCCGCGTGTTACCACACAGACCCATCAGCCGTGATTAGCACTGTTAAAACTGTCAAAAAGTAAATGTGTGACTCTGACGCTCAGCCGGAGATGGACGACTGAAGCTTTTTTGGCGTTTAAAGCTGCAGCCGTCGAACGAGCAGTGATTTCTGAGGGTGAGGTGATTAGCTGCTTTCTGCTGGCCCTCCTGTAACCCGTGCCCCGCTCAGCTCAGCTCAGGCTGGGAAGGAAAGCGCTGGAAGCTGGAGAGACAATGCAATGAGGAAGTTACATAACACACACACACACACACACACAGTGGCAGTCCTCAGCTGCAACCTCCACTGCTGCTCGAAAAAAGTCGGAGAGCCGCGAGAGAGCAAAGATGAGGTTCAGAGCTCGGCCTGGCTCACAATGCGAATGACCGGTTCTGCGTTTCCAGGAGATTTTTCACAATAAACGAAGCTTTAAGACTCTCAAAATAGCTGTTTTGCATCGTTTACGGGCGAAAATCAAATCTAATCAAAACTATCAAATCCAGGAACAAGAAGGAGACATTTTTATCTACAGAGGGAGCGGGTCCTCTTCTGGTGGGGTCCGCCATGTTTCTACAGTTCACAGCTTGTTCTCATTCCCAGTTCATCAATTACAGACGCGAGCAGTGTTCAGTTAGTTGTAGATTCATCGCTAGATTCCGCTAAATCCGACACACTGGTCCTTTAATGCAGTGGTTCTCAACCTAGATGTCAGGACCTTCACTAATACCAAAGCTTCACAGCAGGTTGTGAGGCCGTCTTGATTGTAAGGTGTGTTAGAAAACTTAAAGAATAAATAGTCAGTTGATATCTCTGTTTAGTTCATCTGTGATAAATATAAAGTAAACAGTCTTACAGAACACAACAACATCAGAAACGTGTTTATAAAATCTAATTTGTAATATTGAGATTAAACACTGAACACATTTATTCATTTGTTTTACATAAAAACCAACCGTGAGCTCATCGGCGAACACAAACTCGCTGTTCTGTCCGACACATTCAGGTGTTTCTCTGGAGGCCAAAATCAGTCTCATCAACAACAGCTGAGTCATCATGAAGCTTCACCGGAGAACTGAAAGCAAACACTGAACTACCAGAGACAAAGACACACACAAATATATATATATATCACTGCAGCTTTGCAGCTTTGCTTTGCTTTATTGTTGCTCAAATCTATGAAATCAAGAAACCAAGAGGAGCTTTTATTGAGTATCATAAATTGTTGGTGAAAAAGAGGAAAAAATGCAAGAAATAAGAAAAAAAAGAAAAACACCTGAAAAAAAAGGCATTCAGTTTCAATCAGTTTTATTATTTACAATATTTCAGTACTTTACCTTGCTGTCAGACATACAGGACATATCTGTCTATACTCTCTCCAAAGCCACCAAACTCCTTTAACAAAAACAGCAATTTTATCTTGCAGAACACGAGAGTTGTTGGTCGGCCGCTGCCTCGATACGCAGCAACTAACGTTAGTTTGGATCCGAATTGACGTGTTAAAAACACCAAAGTCACACAAAATCACAAACTAACTAACAGATGGAGGCGACGTTAGAGTAGCAACCCCCGTATATTCTGTGAGGTTTAAAGGAGTCTGGTGGTTGTGAAGAGAGCAATATAAAGACTTCAGTTATGCCTTAAGTCCAACATATAACATGATTTTCTGTTTGTACATTTCTCTTTTATATCGTTTTATTGTCTAATATTGTTAATTCTGCTTCTCACTTCGCAAAAAAACTGGTACAACCCGACCCATCTGAATAAGCCTGAACCCCAGGAAGCAGTTTTATGTTTGACCTGAACCAGAATTTCTGCTTAAAATTAATAAATAATTTAGATTTAATTAAATTAAATCTAATTAAAGCTCTTCTTCCTGACCTCCATGTGGAGTTTGGGATTCAAATTTTAGCTCAAATGTGAGTAAAACCGACTCAATGTACATCAGGCTCTTCCGTCCATCAGTTTCTCCCCCCCTCCGCTGTAATCAGGATTTAAACCTCCAGTTGCATAATCTCGTGTGTGGAGGTAGAGTCGTAGGCCGAGGAGCACAGGTAGTCATCACTGAATTTACCTACTGCATCATATGACTCACTTGGTTCAAAGCAATGTCACCAATGTTTGCCTGAATTCATTCCTTCATATTAACATCTTTAGGTTGCATTTGTTCTTGTTCCTGCAATACTTAAAATACAAAGCTTTCAGGTCCTAAACATCCATAAAAATGCAGCATAAAAGTTTGATTTTGGTCTTAAATATGTTGATTTACTCTGAATTTTGCCAGTTAATCAGCATTAAAATGTCATTAACATTTGACATTTTGGAACAAATTATAAAATAGTATCAGTGTATAATGTTGTGTTCTGTAATTTTATTTAATGCAAACATCTTTTATTTAAAACAACAAATTAGGTCATTTGAGAGCACAAATTATTTAGTTTTTATTAAATTTGTGGTTTATGTTTATGGAGATTTTTGCCTGATTGAGAGGATTTTAGTGATGTGTGGAAGCTCATTTACGCCAATGAATCCTTTTTTCCCATCACATTGGCAGAAATGGTCTTCTATAGTGAGGAGAAAGGAAATGAAGGGAAATAACTATTTATTTGAATCTTGAATTTTTGAATAATCAAAATAAATAAATACATTTCCAGATAAAAATGAAATAATATTTAGATAATAGAGACTAGAATAGAGGCTGTAACTGACTGACTGCTACTCAGTACTACTAAACTGGTTTCCAAACCACCAGGGCATTACCTAAAACGCACCACAATGGGCCCTGAACACATCGCGAACCCTTTAATTACCCTAAAAAGACAGATGAAAATGGCACAGTGAAGTTCATTATATCCTCGCGCAGGTTATTTTAAACTGCACTGGGTCATTAACTGGAGCTTTGTGTGTGTGCAGCAGAGAGAGCGAGTAAATAGAAGATGATTGCCTCATCGGCGTGCGATAATTAAGGGTTTTCAGCCGAGCTGCTCAGCTGGCTCGAGGTCTGTGACATGGGAATGTAAGACTCAGATGAGCTTACGTAACCTAATTGTTTAGCCTCGGAGAAGAGCAGTTATCTTTAAAACGGGAAGCGTTGTGAGGGCCTGAATTAATCAAATATATGTAAACTCTACTGAGAATGCTAATTAATCCCTCTCGGTGTTCCCACCCTCCGCTGCCATCTCCTTCCTGCTGCCGTTGCCTCCATTGTGATCAACCAGAGGGGAGGGTCAACTTTTAATTGTGCCTCGTGTTACAACATCACCTCCACTTTGACTCATAAAGACACAAGCTTCCCTGAAAGCACCGTTTGTGAAATTTGGGGGTTGTCTCTTAAATATTGCCCACATGCTTTTGGGAAGCTCTCGACTTTAGGAAGCAGATGTGATTGTTGGTATTAAAGTGCCAGATTTTTTAATGGAGTTTGGTCTGTAGAGGTGTTTTAGTTTTTTAGATTTAAAAGAATAGCACCGTAGATGATGACTCAGAGACGCTCTCAACTTCAAGAAACAGATGCCAGTAGAGATGGTCCAGACAGGTGTGCAGGTGCAGACATTTAAAAGAATAACAATGTCTTGCATTTCTGTGTTTCTGTATTTTCATCATAATGGGTCATGCGTAGAGTTAGGCTATTTTTGCTGTGTGATTCCTCACTAATTCACGATACCGGCATACAACTATTCTGCATGCCATACCATTGAAGCATTGTGGAACAATACTATAAAACTCACTTGCTTTAACTCAAATATCAGAAGGAAACTAACTTGCTTTGTCCCACTCAGTCATATTCATATCTCTGTTTTGTAGCGAGCATACTATGCGTCAATCAGTCAAGCACCACCCTCCCCCCGTAAGAAAAAGTGAGCTGCACCAATAGCTGTGGTATAGTTTGCACACTGGACTTAAATATATTTTATTTTAATGCAACTTCCCCAACTCCCTCGCTAAATAAAGACATTAAGCATAAAAGGGAACTAAAGTTTCACAGTTCTTATATGTGATAATCTGTGATAGTCATCTTCACCCGGTTAGAAGTAGTTTCCAAATCTTTGTTGTAACTGCATTTCTTTTCCTTTCAGAATCAGAATCAGAATCAGAAATACTTAAATAATCCCAGGGGGAAATTATTTTTGTTACAAACTCCAGATATACAAACAAAATAGACAACTATATTTATAGCAAGCAACATCTATTAAGAACAAAATATAAGTATA